TTTCTTACATAATAAATATACTATCTTGAGTTTCTCCATCCTTGAAGTTGTGGGTTGGCTGTGATGCCTAAAAACACCAATGTGAAAGCCTGAACAACTTTTTGATTTCACTATTCACACATTATTATTATCCAAATCCCTAACTATGGATACAATTGTTGACAATGGTATATAGGCTTATCAAGCTTACTATGTGATCATGCGTGATGCCAACAGATTTAGAATCTAATAATTTACTGCATGCTTTTATTTATTTATTTATTTTTAAATATTTTTACTTTTATTGATGCAACAAGGTATATTATTCTATAATCTATAATTTATATCTATACTATATATAAAAGTACGAATATGAAACATTGATTTTCTAAAATGCCCCTGTTAAATTTATGGATTGACAAAAAGACTATAAAGAAAAATAAAATATAGTTTAATTTTGATTAGTTCTGTTAATTTTCTATTTGAATCTAAATTCTATTAAAAATTTTAATCTAATTCTAAATAGAAAATTAATACAACTAGAGTAGTTTAATTAACTAAAATTCTATTAAAAATTTTAATTAATTTTCTATTTGAATCTAAATTCTATTAAAAATTTTAATCTAATTCTAAATAGAAAATTAATACAACTAGAGTAGTTTAATTAATATATAAAAATTTATAGTTTTAATATACTAATTAGTATGCTTTATTTATTTATTAACATTCACATTAATTTTATTATTTTGACTATCAAGAATTTGTTCCTTGGAATTATTGAGCTCCCAATTATATCTTCTTCTTTCGGTAAATATAATCTCATTGTATGAATTAATTTTTAATTTTTATTGTACGAATTATTGAGCTCGCAACATCAGTTGGGTGCGTGTTATGGTTATAACAATTTTTTTTCTCAATAACATCAATATACGGTAGTTTCATTGTATTTGACTCAAACTAGGAAATAATAGTGGATTTATTTGACATACTTATTGCTATTAATTTGTATAGTTTTTTTTATTTCAATTAGGAATTTTTTTTAGAATTTTTATTTCAATCAAGAATTTTAATTATTATAAAGCTTCTCAACTAGAAATTACAAGTTAATTGAAATTAACAATTTATTTTATAAGGATTTAGATTATGATTTTAATAATTATTCACTAAGAATTCTTATTATATTAATTAAAAGAGTTTCTATTTGTTCTTAACTTAGGAATTTTAATTTATAATAATACTGATATATATAAAGGTAGGGATAAAAAAGGGAAACATTTGATTAACCAAGATACTCTTACTAAATTTAAAGTTGATAAAAATATTTTTAAGATTTTAATTTTTTTATTTAAAAAAATTAAAGGATAAATAATAAAAAATATAAAAAATATAAAAAATATAAAAAAATATAATTTAATTTTTCCAATAAATAAAAAAAATAAAAAAGATTTTTTAATTAAATGTATTAAAATATAAAAAATATAATTTAATTTTCAATAATAAAAAAATAAAAAGATTTTTTAATTTTAAATTATTTAATGGATTTAGAGCTAATTTTTTAGACACTTTTGAACCTCAAGAAAAAAACATTTCTTCTAATGCAACGTTGGAACACATATAATTACGTTCTTCGGCGGCAATCAGGATTAGGTGAAATATATATATGCATATAATTTTTATTAATTATTGTAACTGAATTTCTTTCTCTTCCTTTCTTGACTATTATATATATGATCTATCACAATTTGTCATAGAGTTCAATTAATAAGAATTCTTTGCTTTATCATTCTCCTTCTTTGTTTTAAGAGATAATAATTATTTTACTTAATATCTTAATTAAATTTTTATTTATTTTTTCAGAAGAAATTAAATTTTTATCTATTAATTTTTATTTAGAAATTCATTATATAATTAAATGTTATATTTTAATGCATTTATTGTATACATTAGAGTATATATTTGATTCGTGATATATGTACTCAAGATTTAATTACCTATGATAATAAAAGAAAAATTTGTAATCCATTTAATTAATAAAAATAACACACCTTCATAATTTTGAAACATATTATTTATATTAAACTCTTAAAAAAACGAATTAAATAAATCATAATCATTCAAAAAAAAAAAAAAAACTTAAATAGAAGATTTGAAAGGAGAGAAAGATCACTTTTTAAAATAGTAAATGGAACGAGTAAGTACAACGAGTATAAATAATGTGCAATACACATTAAAAAATACTAGTAACAGAAAAGAAATTTTAAAGTTGGCAACCGGAGAATATTAAATCACGTCAACATAGAAAAAGATATTAAGGTATTCATCCACAGTAATTTATTTGACATGAGGGTGAAATTCTGATGCTTCAACTCTAAATGATGTCTTACAGTTGGTTTGATCTCCCTCTTCGAATAATGGATTGAGGTATAACAAATACATAAAATGTATTAAAAAACAAATGGATAAGCATATATAGGATGTAGTATACTTTGAAATAGTAGGCCAATTTTAAATTTTCTTCAAAAACACCTTTTATGCTAATCAATTTATTCATGGCAAACGTATTCTTCTCATCAATTCCTGTCACCAAAATAATATCATTTCATAATCTAAGCCAATTTAGAATGTACATATATGAGGGCAATGAAAAAAAAAAAATTCTTTGCTTCAAAAATATATTTGGAACTCGCATGATGGATGTTCTTAGCTTGGTTAGCAGTTTTCCAGTGTTTCAGTGTTGTCGTGTTCGACAGCAGGCAACTTCTGTGGCCCATGAGTTAGCTCAACTTTCTATTTCTTGTGTTTTTCGATAGAGCTATTTGGTTAAAGTTTAAATAGGAAACATTAAAAATAGAAAATTGTTATTAGAGGAAACGTTTGTAATGTAGAACTAACTAAATGATCTATTTCTATCTAAATTTGAGAGTAAATATTTGTTATAAAGTAATATATTAAAATACATTAATTGAACAATTCATTGTTATTAAACTTTATATTTTTTTTAAAGTTAATAATTAATAATAATCACTTAAAGCCATTAATACATTAAATAACCAAACCAAAAACATTAATTCAAAATAAATCCAAACCAAATCAATACATTAATACATTAAATAATCAAATTAAACCAAATCAAAAACACTAATTCAAAATGAATACATTCAAATAATCAAATTAAACCAAATCAAAAACACTAATCTCAAAATAAAAATCCAAACAAAACAATACATTAAATATATTAAATAATTCAAAATTAAACATGTTTCCAAGTGGAAGCCTAATTGATTTATTATATGTCAACATGTCCAATTAAAATACTAAGTAATATATCACTTCATCAAAACTTTCTGGGAGAGGAAAAAAATTATTTGTTAATATATATAATATATATATATATTAATGATTTCCATTATACAATATTTAACATATATATATATATATTGATTTCATTATACAATATTTAAATAAAATATCATCAGCTAAACGATCAGTGAATAGGGTTGCTCATCCTTTTACAACTCATGTCAATTCTGTATCTGATCTGAAGGAGTAAGGTCTTGTCTCATTGTTGATTCCTTGTTAGATGAATTATGTTAATGAAGTCTGCAGTTTTACCTTAAAAAAAAAGTATATCATCAGTTAACTAGCACCTTCCTAATTATAATGAGACTGAACCGAACAATTTCTTATTTTGAATTAGATTATACTGTCTAAAAAAATTTAGATTTAAATAGAAAATTAATATAACCAAATCATAAACTACTTTTATTTTTCAACCAATAAAATTTAACTCTTTAATGACTTTTCTATTAATCCATAAACTTAGGCGTTTTAAGGACCTAATTTTCCCTCATTCATACTTTTATATAAACTGTTTTTTATAACATGCATTGCACGTTGATTGTACTCATTATTCGAACTCGTTCAATTTCATTTTATTGCTCACTTTTACTTATTATTTATACTCGTTTTTATTTTTTAATATTAAATATTATTTATAATTTTTATCTTATATTTTTATAACGTTAAAACATAATTTCGTATAAGATTAATGTAAATATAATGATTAATTAATAAAATAGTAAGTGTGTATATACATATATTTCAGTTCAATTTATACCGTCATTTATCTAAAATTCATTATAATTATATATGTGTCATCGTGCAATATCACCCAATAAGTACGTTTGAATATATATAGTTATATAGATATAACAAAAAAATTATATGTATTTTTAAAATTAAAATTTTCAATTATTTGTCATCCCACACACACGTGTTTATTTTATTTACAAATTAATTTTAAAAAGTTAAAATTTTAAAATTTTAAAAGGCTTAATTATGTATATTCTATTTGAAAATTTATTTTTAAAAATATATATCCAATCAATCCAATTCAAATAATAAATATCAAATTATATAAATATAAAGAAAAAAATATTATAAAAATATCCTTTTTTTTTCTTTTTTTTTTATTTCTCTCCTAAATAAAATATTTTAAATTATAATAAAAATATAATTAAATATTTAAAAAACAAAACAAAAATATTTTCAAATGTCTTATTATCATATATATTTATTAAAAAATAAACTTAAAACTAAAAAATAAAATATAATTTTCTAATTGGTCATAAGTAAAATTATTTTAAAATATTTAAATTTCATTCAGAATTCTATTAGAAATCTCATTATTGCGGAGGCAAGAATCTCCGGTATAAACAGTAGATTATAGTTTTTTTTTTTTTTTTTTCAAAAGAAATCTTTTAAAAGATAAGAAGTCAAACTTAAACAAGCAAAAGAACACAGAGAACACAGTGTCTTATAATCAGTTGGTCGAAAACAAGCATCCAACGTTGCCGAATTTTTACAACTAGAACTATACAATTTTGACAAGTCAATTGAATTCCTAATTTCTCTTTTAAATTATTCTACAGGTGACAGCTATTTTCACCGCTTTCTTCCAACCAGCCTCTTTAAATACCCCATATCTATCCAACCAGCCTCTTTAAATACCCCATATCTATCCTTCTGCAACTCACCTATCGCCATCTCCTTTCCTTTATCTTACTCTATACAGAAAAATGGAGCTAGAGCAACCAATCCCCAGAAATACTCCTAACGTTCAAAAACTTAGCTCTTCCAGTTTAGAAACTACTGATACATACACTTCGAGATCGACTACCTCGTCGAAAACTACAAGTCATTCGACGTCGTACAATGATCTTTGCAATCGCTCCGAATCGTTTCGGACACTGGAGATGGGCATTCCGAAGGACGTTTCGCCGGAGAAACGACTTGCTTGGTTGCGATCTCAAATTGTGGGTAATGGTGTGGAATTTGATTCTCCGTTTGGGGTGTGGAATTTGATTCTCCGTTTGGAAAACGAACGCTTACTTATGCTGATCATACTGCCTCCGGCAAGTCTCTTCACTATATCGAGAATTTCATCATTGACAATGTTCTTCCTTTTTATGGTATGCACATTTTCTTTTTCAATAGTTTTCATTTATTAATTTATTAATTGTTGTATTGAAGGCCAAATGCTTAATACCGTTGAGGATTAAGGAACCCTCTCTTAAATAGCAATCATTAAATTTGAATCTGAAACCTCTTCACATTTATATATTTTCTATGTCTGTGTTTGAAGATTAATGGTGTTAGACAGTTGAATGATAATTTAGAATAATCTATATAGGCTGCTGCTTGCCTGTTTCCATCAACCCATTGCGTGGAATCCCTTTAATTAGGCGGCTACCTGCATTTTTGTATTAAAAAAAATTATATAAATAAATTAGGAGAGTTACATAACATTAAAATATTCAACTCCTTGTCAGACATAAACACTCTTTAATAAGTATCGAAAACTTAAAAAATGTGTCTTATTATTTATTTTATTTTATTATTCTTGGACACGTTAGAGACATTTAAAAATTTTACTTATTTGAATTATTTTTATTTTACAATTTGTTTACTTATTTGAATTATTAATAGATTATATTTATTCAGTGTAGCGTTTGTATTTGTGTCTATGCAATCTATAAGATAACAAAATAGTCAGGGGGTGGAGGCACACTTACTAAAGTTAGAGGAAGCTAAAAGAAAATTTTTAAAATTAAGAGAGGCTTGCAATATTTGCAGGTAAAAATTTTAAAATTCTTTTGAATTTGGGTGTCCGGGTTTCCCAGTCATGGTCTTAGGTTTGAATAATAATACAACTTTGCTACTATTTTTTTTTTCAGAAAAAAAAAAAGAAAAAAAAAAAAGAGGAGTCAAGAACAGTTGTCCTCCTCTCCTTGAACATGACATTAGATACAGAAAACCCTTGAATTAATAATTATTATTAATTATTCATATATTAAGAAAGCCCTTTATTATTATTATTAATATTTGAAATGAAATAAAACCATTTATTCATATTATTTTCATTTTTTAATTGTCAAAACATACTATTAGTGTTATTTAATGTTTTATTTTATCTTTTAAGTATGCTATATTTATTAGTTATCAGTAAAGCTAATCATTTTCTAACCATAGAAATGCGCATTATTATTATTACCCCATATAGGGAACACTCACACGTGTGACAGTTACGTGGGACAACGAACAACAAAAATGTTACACGAAGCCACTCAATACATAAAGAAATGCTTAGGCGGCGGATTAGACGACGCGATAATCTTCTGCGGCTCGGGCACCACTGCAGCGATTAAACGATTGCAAGAGACAGTGTGCATTGCGGTTCCATCGATTATGAGAGATAGGCTAATAAAATGCCTTACCAATGAAGAGAGGTGGGTTGTCTTTGTTGGACCTTATGAGCACCACTCGAACCTTCTTTCATGGCGGCAGAGCTTAGCTGAAGTGATAGAGATTGGTACTGATGATGCTGGGTTAATAGACATGGAAGCTTTAGACATGGAAGCTTTAGAGGAACGACTTAGCGTTTATAGGAATGCGAATCGGCCGATTTTGGGGTCGTTTTCAGCTTGTAGTAATGTAACTGGGATTTGTTCTGATACTCGAGGAATCGCTCAGCTTATTCATAAATACGGAGGATTCGTGTGTTTTGATTTTGCGGCAAGGTACATTCTTCTTCCTATAATAATAATTAATTAATTTCAATGTAAAAAAAAAGAATAATTAGTTAATAAATATAAAATCAATTTTTAAAAAATTAAATTATAAAGTTTTGTTTGGAAAATGTATACAGTGGGCCATACACAGATATTGACATGAGGTCTGGTGAGATGGACGGGTATGATGCTATTTTTCTGAGCCCACATAAGTTTCTTGGTGGGCCCGGATCGCCTGGAATTCTTCTGATGAGTAAAGCTCTTTATCAGCTAAGATCTTCTCCTCCGTCAACTTGTGGAGGAGGAACAGTTTCTTATGTCAATGGCTTCAATGAAAAGGTCAGCCCATCTATTTTGACTTGCCAGAAATTTATTGTCCCTCATTTGAATTTTCTTTTCAAATATTTTTTTCTATTGGAAAACTTCAAAAACTTAGTGGAAAATAAAATAGAAATAAACATATATATATATATATATATATATATATATCATTATATATATATATATAGTATATATATATTTGTTTTTTTTTTTTTGCAGGACACGCAGGACACACTATATTGGGAGGACATAGAAGAGAGAGAAAATGGAGGAACACCACAAATAATACAAACAATTAGGGCAGCATTGGCATTTTGGGTTAAAGAATACATAAGTTACAAAGTGATTGAAAAACAAGAAAACAACTACATAGAAAAAGCATTGGAGAGGCTGAAATCCAACAAAAATATATTGGTTTTAGGAAAAAATAATAGCAAGAGCAAAAAGAGACAAGCTATATTCTCCTTCCTCATATATTCTACAACTACTAGTAGTGAATTTTTAGAGGCAAAGGGAGAAGAAGATCTTAACATGTGGGCAGAGACAGGAAACAAAAGAGATAAGCCTTTACATGGAGCATTTGTTGCTGCTTTGCTTAATGACTTGTTTGGAATTCAGTCTAGAGGGACTTGTTTGGAATTCAGTCTAGAGGTGGGAGTGCCTGTGCTGGTCCTTATGGTCATTTTTTGCTCAACATCAATCAGACTACCTCTCTTGCAATTAGATCAGCAATACAAAAGGTAATTTGGTATGTTACAATGTGATCATTTGACAATGTGAAAAATACTGCAACATAAAGTAAATATAGCAAAATTTACCAACAAAATTTATGAATTTTTACAGTGGTATGTTGGGGAGTAAAGCCAGGATGGACAAGGATTAGTTTCCCATATTACATGTCTGAAGAGGAGTTTGAGTTCATTCTTGCAGCAGTTGAATTTATAGCCATTTACGGCCAACGATTTCTTCCATTGTATCATTTCAATTGGAAAAACGGCAACTGGACTTTCAAGAAAAAGACATTTAAGGACTTGCTATTAGCTTGTGGTGGGAGAATTGTCAACAAACATACCTCCTATTTAGAGATGGCAAAAAATATTGCTAATTTGCTTCCAAAATTTCCAAAATTTCCTTCTCAACGTAAGCTTCCGGAAGATTTAGATCACAATCTCCTGTATTTCAGAGTCTAAATTTCATTGTAAAAGCCTGCAACAAAAAATTTGCCAATTTATTACAAGCTTTTGCTATGAAATACGTTATCTTGTTTATACAGCTCTGCTAAGTAGAATAAGGAAACAAAAAACACTGCTACTTTTTTTCTCTTGATAGCAAACAAAAACAATTAGTATTACAACTTATTGCCAAGGCCAGCTGCATAGAAGTCTGATACAAATATAAATATTGAATTGCAGAAAATAGAGACAAATTTAAGTCATATAACCCAAAACAGAACAACATCTCCCAGAACAACATCTCCACTGACTGTATAACAATTCTTCTTTCTTAAAATCTCACTTCATCTTCACACCTTGAGAACTTTTAGAGCAGCTCAGTAGCATTTTCACAAGCAGATCATTATTTACTACCAACTCCACGGTAGTCGCATCTGCAGAAAACCCCTTGCCAACCATTTCATCAATTAGTTCTGTTGCCATGGACAAATCATTGTGTCGGAGATCAATTGTGTCGGAAGATATCCTTGGAATAATCACATTATATCCTTGGATAATCACATTATAAGAGCAATTATCTGGTGAGCAACCATTCCCTTCCATTTTCCTGAAAACCTTTAATGCTTCATCTAATAATCCTTCTTTACAAAGTCCTTTGACCATTATAGTGTATGTGAAAACATTAGGCTGCAATCCTTCTATGGAAACTCTAGAAAACAGCTCCTTTGCATCTTTAACCTTTCCAGCCTTGAACATACCATCAATTAGGGTACTATAAATAATAAGGTGAGGCTTCAACAAGTTCTTTTGCATTCCATGAAATAGATCCAATGCCATATCAAGACACATATGCTTACAAAAGCCATCTATCAAAACTGAGTACACCACCACGTTGGGAGAATAGCCACTAGCACACAAGTCCTTGAAAAACTTATGTGCAGCCCAAAGGCTCTTTGCTTTACACAAGCCACGGATAAGAGAACTATAAGTAACATCGTCAGGCATCAAGCCTTTGCAAGGCATTTCATCAAGAAGCCGCATTGCCTCATCTATCTTTTTTCTCTTACAGTAACAATGAATCAAGATGTTGTAGGTAAAAACATCAGGTGCACAACCCTTGCTTATCATCAGGTCAAATATTTCTCTAGCTTGATCCACTTGGTTGTGTAGACAATATCCATCCATCAATGAACCGTAGGTGATAACATTAGGCTCTGTTCCTCCCTGCATCATCAATTTAACTACACCATGAGCCTTTGAAACCTTTCCTTCCCTACAAAGTCCATCAACCAAAGTATTGAAGGTAATTATATTTGGTGTGACGTTTCCTCTCAACATTTGGTTAAGCAACATAAAAGCTTGCTTCCATCTGCTTGACATACACAAACCACGGATTAAGGTGCTGTAGGCCACAACATCAGGTAAGATACCTTCGCTCTTTATTTTGAAGAAGAGGTCTAATGCCTCAGCAACCAATGTGTCCTTGCAGAGGCTGTCAATGATAGCACTGTATGACACCACGTCAGGCTCACAACCTTCCTCGACCATTCTTTTCAGAACAGCAAAGGCCACATTGGTTTTCCCAATTTTACACAGACCATTCACAATCACAGTATAAGAACCATTCCAATCACAGTTAATTATAGGTATAAACATTGGGTTGATACCCTTTTTCAACAATATCATCAAACAAATCCACAGCTTCACCAAATTTATCCTCCCTACAAAGCCCATGGATTAAGGTATTAAACGTTACAATATCAGGCTTAAAACCGAGTTTGAAGATTTTACCGATAAGGGAGTACCCAAAATCGACATGGTCTAGATGGCAGAAGCAATTAATCAAAATACTTAAAGAATAAATATTATGTGAAATTTCAAACATTTCCATCTGTTTAGAGAGAGAAATGACAGCAGCATAATGTTTCATTCGAACAAGTGCAGATAATATTTTATTGAGTTCCTTAATAGGGGAAGGAGGATTACTATGAAGCATCAAATTAAAGGAAGCTAAACAATCATCAAAGTTGTGGAATGAATCAGAATTGCTTTTACCTCTCAAATGAGTACTGCTTTTAGAACTACTAAAAGAAACGGAACCAAAAATTTCCATTGGCCGACGAAGCCGAAAAACAGTAAGGCATCTCACGCTGCTAGTAGACATCATCGATTATCTGCCTATGCACAAAGCGAAAGAGAAGCAGTTTATCTTCCTCTGTGTAAACAGTTTTTGGAAGGAAATAGTTTTTGCTCTCGTTTAGTCTAATTTGATTTCTGTTCTTCAATGACGAAAATTGGATCGGGTCACCCACCATGAAACCAGACCCAAAATATGATTACTTCTTCAAAACCCAAAATTGCCCCTACCAGATTTCAACTAATTTCTTTTTTGGAAAATAACTTCTTCAAAACCCAAAATTGCCCCTACCAGATTTCAACTAATTTCTTTTTTGGAAAATAAATAGTCAACGAATACAAATTTTTTTGATAAGTATTAAAACTTCTCTTTTTCCTTTTGTATACAATTCCTTTATCTTATACAAGTATTTAATACTGTTTGCATTATTCAAGCAATTGATCTGCTTTGAAACTTTGCAATTGGTCTGATAATTGATATGTTATATATGCTCATTTTAATCAAATTATCAGAATTAGATATAGACTTTATCATCAAATTATCCATTAAAGTTGGCACTAGATTCCAAAATTGGAGGAGGCCTATTTTATAGGGGAAATAAAAAAAATTAAAGTCAAATTTATATTTAATCCTACTTCATCAAATTTTGTCTTTTAGCATGTATTTTTAGATCTGTCGCTTATTATATTTGATAACTATTTGCTAGTTTATATTCTTTACTTGTCTCAATATATGTTTGAGTATGTAATACTTGTCTTCTTTATTCTATATATTAGGTAGAATGTGATAATCATATGCTCATTCTCATTTGATTGTATTAGTTTCCTATTTGAATCTAAATTCTAATTAAAATTTCAAAGTAATTAAATCAATAAAAAAAAAATTTATTTCTTGACGAATAAGTTTTTTCCCCTTTAATCATCAAGATGTGATGAAAGTTGATGGTTCATAGATGAAATACCCCGAATTTTTATTTTCAAAACTTTCGACTTTTTATTAAATCAAAAATCAGAATTTTCGACTGTACGGGATGCAGGTACTATATAATCCTAATTCGCGAGTTGGGCCAAGCCCAAAGTATAGTATCGTAACCCCTAATTGAGAATTTTCTAAACTCTTCAAGAATTATTTTGGGCATTGAATATTAAATCAATTAAAATAAATTAATTGGACCCGTAAAACAGCTTGAAATTTTTTGAAAACCAAGTGAAAAACTCAAAAACCAAGTAAATCGAACCAAATCGTTGAATCAGACCAAACCGATTCGAATCGAACCAAAATGATCTATTCCTCTCTCTTCTTCTTCTTCCTATCTAGCGCACGCAGTAGGTTTTCGTTCACCAGAGCTCAAGGTCCATCGACTTGACAATCCTCACCTTGCTACCGACCCCTCCGGCCACCGCTTTCTCTGTCATCGGTTCGTCGTAGCGCAAGCGAGAGAGAAGAGGCTGCGATTTCTTTCAATGATTTAACTCCAGCGACTTCCGGCCACCGGAGATCGAATCTGTTAGTTGTTAAACTTGTTTTTTTTAGTTTGCTGTCATAAACTTCAACTGGAAATTGTAGCTGTAAGCATTTAAGTTTTTTATTTGTTTTATTTCTCCATAAAATAAGGACTAGTTAGTTAAGGTGTTGAACTAGTTTTTATAGTGGAAGTAACGTTAAGGTGTTGAACTAGTTTTTAGGAAGTGACTTAGTGGAAGTAACGTGTTACTGAATTGTAGCAGGAGATTTGTTATTTTTCATTATATAAGAAAAACGGTGTTTGTTACTATACGTAACACACCACAAAAAGATTGTTAATTTTGAGTGTCTTTGCTTCTTCTTTATCTCTGTTGTTTACATTTGGTATCAGAGCCTCAAGATCAAGGCCTGATTTCAACAATGTCTCATTTAGAAATTGAGTGGTTAAGAAGAGAAAGAGAATAAAAACAGAGAGAGGAAATGAGTGAAACAAGCCAAAACACAGGTGCGACTGGAGATGATACCTCAAATGAAGTTGGTGTACGAATTCAAGAGAAGGAGGGATCCGTTACACTCAAATACCCAATGCTGACAAGATGTAATTATGCAGCTTGGGCAATTAAGATGGAGGTATTCATGATGGCACAAGGTGTTTGGGAGGCAATTGAGTCACCAGAAACTGTTGATAATCGCAAAGATAAGAATAAGATGGCCATGGCAGCCATTTTTATCAAAGCCATTGGAGAGGGAAAACACACTGCTTGCAATTAGGTGCCAGGAAACAAGCCAAAGGAGCTTTGGATCATGTTGAAAAACATGAATCTAAGGTGCAGACAAGGTGAAGAAGTGAGGACGCAGAACCACTTGGCAGAGTTTGAAAGCATTGAAAATGGGAGACTCAGAAAGAGTATTTGATGAGTACTCTACTCTGGGAACTCACATTAATTGTCAACAAAAAGTTTGAAGAGGCCTCGGCATACTGTGGATGACATCTAGGTAGTAAGAACTCTTACGATCCACCTCTGCAAAAAATTTTTCTTTCAAATCACTTCACTATTGAGGAGTTCAGTGATCTCAAAAACAAAGTCATCGATGAGATCATTGGATCACTCCCAAGGCTATGAAGAAGGTTGCAAGGATGGAGAAAAAGAAGAAAACGGTATTCCTCACTGTGCAGAATGGAAGGCACGAGAGAAATGCAAAAATCCTCTAAAGAAAGAAAAAAGGGAAAGGATCAAGGCAGTTCTAGAGGAGGCCAGGGGAGCGGTCGTGGAAGAGGTTAGAGATCGGGGCAAAGTGACTTCACATCGTGGGGAGATGAAGGGGGTCACAAACGGGGGGTCACAAACCCAGAAAAAGAAGTTTGACAAAAGTAAAATTAAATGCTACAATTGTCAGCAAATGGGACACTTTGCATCGGAGTGTTCTTCGAAAGATGAAAAACTCAATCTGACAGAGATGCAGAAGGATGAGGAGTCTTCATTGCTGATGATAGAAACGTGTGAAATAATGAATACACGTGACAAGGAGCCAGACGTTATTATGCTGAATGAAACCATAGTGCCGCCACCAGCAAATGTTGGAGCCGAAAATTCCTGGTACCTGGATACTGGAGCGAGCAACCACATGTCAGGAGAAAGAAAAGTGTTTCGTGAGCTTGACACGTCAGTTGTTGGAAAGGTAAGATTTGGAGACAATTCTGTGATAGACATCTGTGGACGAGGGATAGTGCTTTTCAAATGCAAAACTGATGAGCATTTGATATTGTCACAAGTCTATTACATACCTAAACTCAAAAGCAACATAATGAGGCAACATAATGAGTTTGGGAACACCCCTTTTTTTTTGAAAAAAAGAGAGTGGGAAATAAAACTGTCATAGAAAGATGGCATTAATGAAGATATATGACAGGGCCAGAAACTGAATCATTATGGTGAAATAGACAATCTAACAGATTGTATGTGGCAAAACTGAAGCTGCCGAAAACAGGTGTTTTTGATGGCAAATATCCAGTAATGATGATGGCGTTGGAACGCAAGGTATGGACCATTTGAATTTTTCATTCCTTAAAAAAATTAACGTGACAAAAGAATGGTTTGAAGGCTTGCCCAAGATAACCCAGGTCAATCATTCTGCGAATGGTGTTTTTTGATTTGGAAAACAGCACAGAACTCTTTTCCACAATCAGCAACATATCGTGCAAAAGGAAGCCATTTTGGATCTCGTCCATGGAGATTTATGTGGTCCTATCTCACACAGTCACTTTGTGGAGGTAATAGATATTTTATGTTATTGGTGGAAATGATTTTTCACGATTTATGTGGGTGTTTATGTTGAAGAACAAGAGTGAAGCACTGGTGATATTCAAAAGGTTCAAGTCAGTGTGGAAGTTGAGAAAGCAAGAAGGTTAAAAGTTTCAAGAATGAAGAACTGATCGTGGTGGAGAGTTCATGTCTGTCGCTTTCAAAGATTATTGCGAGAATGAAGGTATGAAGAGATTTTTTACTGCACCATTTTCACCGCAGCAAAATGGCGTAGTAGAAAGACATAATCGAACAGTTGTTGAGATGGCCAGATGTATGTTCAAAAGCAAAGAAATGCCTGCAAAGTACTGGGGAGAAGCTGTTAGAACTGCCATGTATATACTGAACAAGTCACCAACAAAAGGAGTTGAAGGAGGTACCCCATATCAAGCTTGGTTTAAGAAGATACCGAAGGTTCATCATTTTAGAATCTTCGGGTGTCTTGCTCATGCCAAGAATATATCTTCACATCTTCCCAAACTTGCTGATAGGAGCGTGAAGACTGTTCTATTGGGATACGAAGATGGGACCAAGGCTTACAGACTGTTAGATCCAAAGAAGAACAGACTTATTGTGAGCAAGGATGTGTCTTTCGAAGAAGAGAAGCAATGGTGTTGGGAAGAGAATGCAAAAGATGAAGATGAGCAAGGAGGAACATTTACTGTTCAACTTTCAGAAAAACAGAGCAGAACAG